AGGTGAATTTGTTCGTTTAGGTGTTGAATCCTAAAAACGACGCAGCAGCTGACTATAAGAAAGCTGCACATCAGCAACTCGAGGACGTCTCTTACCTCCCACATGCCCTGATCGTCTCTGACAGGCCCTTGATTACGTCTCCAGCACCAGGAAGAAGAACCCACTTCCAGATATTCTGGTAATTTCTCTTTCTTCCTGCGTCTCTCAGCGGTTGATGGGAGCTGACAGAACTGGGACTGCGGCACCGAGCACCTACGAGTCTAAAACTCTGTTGATCCCTCTCGTTATCTTCAGACGTCTCTGAAGTTTCACACAAAGCGCCTCGCTGGAGCGTTAAGCTTTACAGAACAAGTTAGAACTACGGAGCAGGCCGGTGCTCGCCACTCAGACCAGTAGATCAAACTAGAACCAAGTCAAACCATTACAATCATCGGAGATAAATGTTTCCTATGGAAGCCTCTTTAGGTCAAAATAAAGCTTACTGCGTTTTTGTGCAACAGCATCTGTGATTTTAGGTTTACCTTAAACATCTGATGCTAACAACCATTAGCATTTATTAGCATCTAAAATGTTCTTATTCTAACTAAATTAGTTTGATACCTTAGAATTAAACTCTCAGAACTAATGACTCACATTTGGCATTCAAAATGGCTGCCACAGCTAACCAACCTCACCTGACAGAAGGGGCTCATGCTAAATATTAGCTTCTTTTACCTTTTACCTTTAGTTATGCTGCTATAGGCTCAGACAGCTGGAGGACATGCTGGGTTATCCTGGCTCATCCCTTTAGTTTTGGAGTAACTTTGTTCTCAGCATTCCAAACACTTTTGAGGACATACGAGCTGCATCCTGTAGTCAGATTAAACCCCACCCCCACACCACACTCTTTCCCTCCCAGCGATGCGTCAGAGTTTTGAGGCAGAACTGAAACAAAATGGCTGCAGCTCACCTCTCAGCTGCCTGCAGGAAGCAACAAAACTTTATATCTTTAATGTTGGATTCAGAGACAAACCTGTATTCAGATTAAGTCCAGATTGTGATTCTGCAGCATTTTGAGGTGACTTTATTGGATTTTTGTTGTCTAGCTGCTGGCTGAACTCAGATAATGAACTAAAGCTCAGGTGTTAAACATCATTACAGGTGAATGTGGTGATCTGGAGTGTGTGGGTCTGAAGGTACTTCTGTGGTTCCACATGATCAGTACCAGCTGTCTGCATCTTTCTAATGCCTGCTGCTGGTTGGTTGGTTGTTATAACCTCATGAATGTCCATGTTATCACCTCCTCCTGCTGTTTGGATGGGACCACAGAGACCAGGACAGGCGGCGCGGGCTGTCCATTCATCTGCCCTCAGACTGATTAAACATCCAGCTGGACGAGGGAGTGGATTTGGGATTCAGCGGAGATCACGGAGTTCATTCCAACCCCACCAGGGTCCGTATCAGATAATGTTGTCGCTTTAGGTCTGAGCTGTAATTTCCTGGAAGACGACACGCAATCTGACAGATGGCGCTCGCGGTGAAAGAGCTGCCGAGGACAAGGACATGTGGCATCGCCATCAAAACTCCAGTGGCGCCGGGAGACCGCTCATTCTGTCGCATTTTTGCTGCAGAAACACGACTGCAGGTCAAAGACAAGTTTATGAGGTGGAAACAGGTTCAGCTGGTGCTGAAGCAGAACTCCCACTGCTGCAGACTGGATTTTCAGGGCTCCAGACCCAAAAACCAGGAATATTTATGGACTTGGGACGTTTTATGGACACTAAAAAAACAAAAGCTGTCAAAATAATCAGAATAATGAAAGAAAATCCTGATTTATGATCTGTGAGGTCATCAGAACCAAACAGAGACTAAGTCGTCGTTCATCACTGCTGGACCTGTCGTTAGAAACCATCTGACCCAAACAGCTCTAATGTAAACATCTAGAAACCTTTAATACCCAGTCACGCTTCCTCCAACAGGAAATTGAAACCTTTAACTTCCTCTTCCCAGACAGGCCAGCAGCGCGAGCGCTGGTGAAGCAGGGTTGGGGGGGGGGGGGGGGGGTGGAGGGGGGGGGGGGGGGGTCAGCGGGACATCGTCCTGGTTTCTCCTCAGAGATTCAAGCACGACTTCACACAGCAACGTGTGGGAAGTTTCCCAGAATTCCACCTCCATCCGGACAGATCACGAGCCGTTTCTTGCAACAGCTCCTGAGAGAAAAGATGTCACTCATGTCTTTGTTACGGTGGCGCCAGCATCCAGGTAGAGCAGAGTCTAAACAAGTGACAGCAGCAACAATTGCACATGTGATCTCATCGCTCCCTAAAACTAAACACTGTAGAAAATAACCGCTGAGCTGCAGAGGAACAGTTTCAGCTCAGAGGTGTGAAGACGAGCTGCTCAGGTGAGTGGGCTGATTACTCCTCCATGCTCAAACGCTGTAGAGAGTTTCCAGCTGGATGCTTCGCCTCGACTTCATTAATGGTGGAGGAGTTTGCATTTTCATGTCATTAGTGGGATAATTATGTTATAAAATGATGTGATGTTACATAAATCCACTTAATTTAATTTATTTAGAGGAACATCGCGAATCTTCGTCTGCAAACGGGAATGTCTGAACCTCCTTAGTCGTCATGGAGATGACGGTTTTGTCTGAAAGTCATGAAACGTGAGTTAAGCTGTAAAAATAAGATTTGTTTCCAGAGTTGGTTCATACGCCGGCCTGTTGCACTGTGGGTCTTCATCAGCACGGACGCAGAAGAGCTGCTCTGTGTGGTTTCATGTTTCAGGACCACAGAAAGTTTTTTATTTTGTTGTTTCTACAGAAGAAACTTTTGGGTTCTTCTCTGTAGAACGTTCAGGAACGTTAAGCTGCCTGAAAACGAGGCAATGAGGATACCAGATCGAAGCTCCATTTGGCTCATGGTCATTTTTGGGCTTAGCCATGGCAGCCATGTTGATTTAGGCTCCAGTTAACCCCCAGGGTTCAGGCGAACAGCTGGTTTCAAATGGTTCAGATCCAGCACCGATACAATTATTCATCTTTCGTCTGTTTGGAGTTATGACTGTAAGCTAGAAGGACGTGACGCGTCGCTGATGAGTTATTTATACCAAACACAGGTGATGATGTCATCAACACCTCCACCTGCTGCTGTCTCTAAGAACTTCCTCTTGACGGTTCTGCCTCTGTTAAACGTTTTATTCTTTTGGTTTGTTGGATCAAAACCAAAGAAAACAACAGAAATGACAAAGAACTACAGGATCCAGATGAGACACCATGACCACACACGCGTTTGACCCTCTCGACTCGCCGTCCACCACAGCGAGGCATCGCCATGAGTCATCGCCATAGCAACTCATCAAGCTGCTGTTTGTCTGCCTCCAACGAGGTGAATGAACTGAAAGATGAATTTAAAACAGCCAATCAGCAGCCAGAGGGAGGAGACCAATCAGAACAAGCATAGAGGGAAACCACAGAATCAGGTTGAAGGTATCTGATGTTTGGCAGAATAAATACTCTAGTGATGCACTGATATGAAATTTTTGGGCCGATACTGATATTCGATATTAAGATCACTGTTATGGCCGATAACCGATATTTGCCGATACAGATATGCTGACATTAATGCTTCCAAAATCAGCAGATTTTGTATAGAATGAAAATTATTAAAGCTGAATTTACATTATTATGCACGCACACACACACACAAACAGACACACACACACACACACACACACATTTATGGTTTTGAGATGATTTCAATGATTTTATTCACTGTCACATGACTAAACAAATGCACATCTCCACATTAAAAGTTCAACTAATCTTTGAAAATGAGACAAATGCAAATAAAATCAAATAAAAACGCAAAAAGGTCTGATCATCTGGAGACACCAGAGACTTTTCTTTCTTTGTTTTACACAACATGTTTTTAATTATGAGAAATCAGGATAAATAAAATTTAACATGAGCTATAAAAATGTCAGAGTGATCCTGATTACACCCACCCACACACAATCATCACCATCGCCCTCGTGAGAGAGGGAGAACACACGGAATCTTCTAACGCACGCGCACACGCACGACCCTGCTGCCTAAAAAAATCTAATTTTTGTTAAAAATATAAATTTCGTCAAAAATAATCGATCAGCAGCAAAAAGCAGCAGAGACTACCTCATCCCCTCCTCTCCATCTTATTGATAGGCAAGGTGGCATCTCGCGTCCACACCCTACACCCAGTGCGCATGCGTGCCGCGGCAAACAAAGAAGCGGGCAAATAACGGTCTGAAGATGGAGAGTTGACCTGCTGCAGGAAACGAGCAGATCCAGACTGATGCTGCAGCAGAAAGATCAAATCAACGAAGATGAACAGCCGGGGTGTGTGTGTGTGTATGTGTGTGTGTGTGTGTGTGTGTGGGGGGGGGGGTGGGGGGGGGGGGAGGGGGATCAGGTGCATCCTCATCCCACGCACGCCCCCCCACCCCACCCCTCTTCCTCCTCCTCCTCAGTGCAATAAAAGGAATGTGGTATTAATAATTCACCTGCATCGTGACATAATGTGGTCCAGGACCGGATGGGAAACGGTGTGAGACAAACTGTTTAGACACGCGCGCGCCCACGCACGCACCCTTTTAGCAGCCTCCAGAGGTAATAAATGATAAAGTTGTTTCTGATAGAAACAAGCGCCAGGCTGGTCGGTACACATCAAAGACAGAACGGGTCCAAACGGATCTAAAGTCCGAACCAGAATCTGAGCGCGTGCAGGCCATGCTGTACACACACCCCTTTTTGAGCTCGTGCACATTCCTGTGAATGATTCCAGAAGCAAACTCCCTTTTTAAACATCGGATCCCATCTAAAGGCTTTTCTCTCACATTTACTTTGGATTTTAGAAAATCTCTGCCAGACTCCAGGCGCGCGGCCGCGTCTCCAAAAGGAGAAGAAGACAATGAAAAGGATGTGAGCAGAAAGCCAGAACCCCCCAGAGGACCAGGCTGGACCGGGACCGGACGGGTCTTACCGTGGACTGAGAAGTTCCGACCTCCGTCTGCTCCCCTTGCAGTTTCAGGCAGCGGCTGCGGTGTCTGTCTGCGGCTTCCCCTGCGCGCTCGGCGGCTTGTGCCTGCTCTACGGTGCGGCTTCAGCTACTCCGCCTGCGCGCACACGCACTCACTGCTGCGTGCACGCGCGTGCTTTGTGTGGAAGCTCCAATCTGAAAACGTCCAGAGTAGAGGAGTTCGGATCAGATATGTTAAAGGAGGATTCGTGAAGAAAGTCTTTAGTATGGGTTTATTTCATCCGGAGAGAGGGCTTTTATCTCTGAAGGGGTCAAACCGGAAGTGACTCTTTTTGTTCCTTTGTGTTTTTATCCCGCAGAACAAATTTTTTCTTAATGTTCCTTCAGATCTCTAACAGCCTTCAGAAATTCTCCTTTCCGGGTTGTTGCGTCTGCGCGCCCCCTGCTGTTCACACATGCGCGCGCACGGTTCCGTGAACCTGATTCCAGATAAATGAGAGAAGAAATGATCCACTGATTATTGAACATAAACAGACAAAAGCCAGCCTAGAGTGACTATCCCGGGGTCTCCTCGGGAGAAGCCTGAACCACACCAGGTGGCTCCTGAAAGGATTATTTTGTTTTTTGGGGCAAAAGGGTATTTAGTGCAAGTTCTCCTACTTAAAAGGATGAGAGGCCTGAGATTTTCATATGCTTCAGCTGTGAGGGACTAAACAAGAAAAGAAATGCAGAAAGTCACATTGTCTGATTTTTAAATCATTTATTTACAGATGATGGTGGAAAATGAGTATTTGGTCAATAACAAAAGTCCATCTCAGTACTTGTTACATACCCTTTGTCAACAATGACAAACATTTTCTGTAAGTCTTTTTCACACACTGTTGCTGGTATTTTGGCCCATTCCTTCATGCAGATCTCCTCTAGAGCAGTGATGCTCTCCGGCTGTCGTTGGGCAACACAGACTTTCAACTCCCTCCATATTTTCAATGAGGCTGAGATCTGGGGACTGGCTAGGCCACTCCAGGACCTTGAAATGCTGGAAGCCACTCCTTCATTACCCAGGAAGTGTGTGTGGGATCATTGCAGTGCTGAAAGACCCTGATGGAAGGAGGTTTTCACTCAGAATCTGACGATACCAGGCCCCATTTATTCTTTCCTTTACACGGATCAGTTGACCTAGTTCCTTTGCATAAAATAAGCCCCAAATCATGAAGTTTCCACCCCCATGCTTTACAGTGTACTTTGGATGCATCTCTGCATTCTTTCTGCTCCAAACATAACGAGTAGTTTTTAACAGTTATGTTTTGGTTTCTTCTGAGAAGAAGAAGAAAATATATTTTCTATGGCGCCTCTCAAGATAAAAATCACGAGGCGCTTCACAAAAACAAAAAATGTAAAAATAAAAAAAATGTAGAAAATGGTTAAAAATTAAAAAATGAGCAAAAAATAAACAATTGTGATTAAAAATGTAAATAAAGAGAGAGAGTGAATAGGAAAGACGGAAATCAGTGGATCCTGAGGAAGGTGGAATAGGTGGGGAGAGCAGAATAAAGAGAGAGTGGTGAAGAAGGTCATACAAAAGCCAGCTTGAACAAGTGAGTCTTCAGCAGCTTTTTAAAGGAGTCCACTGATCTCAGGCTCAGGGGGAGAGAGGTCCAGAGTCTGGGGGCCACAGCAGCAAATGATCTGTCACCTTTGGTCTTTAGCTTGGTGCGCTGCACAACCAGTAGGCTTTGATCACTGGACCTCAGGGACCTGCTGGGGGTGTAGGGACTAAGAAGATCACCAATGTATGATGGTGCTTGTCCATGTAAGGCCCTATTGACCAGAACCAGGATCTTGAAATGAACCCTGAAGTTGACTGGCAGCCGATGAAGCTGGAGGAGAAGCGGGGTGATGTGGGTGTGTTTGGAGGACTTGGTCAGAAGCCGAGCACAGGCATTCTGACCATATGGCATTCTCCCAATGCTCTTCTGGATCATTCAAATGTTCTCTAGCAAACTTCAGACGAGCGTACTGGCTTAAGCAGGGGGACACGTTCATGGTGGCGTGTTATTGATGGTAGCTTTTGTAACTTTGGTCCCAGCTCTCTGCAGGTAATTCACTAATCCCCCTCCCCCCCCCCACCCCCCACCCTCCCCCCCGTGTAGTTCTGCTCACCGTACTTGTGATCATTTCACCCCACAGGGTGAGATCTTGCATGGAGCCCCTGGTGGAGGGAGATTATCAGTGGTCTTGTACGATGGACATTACACGCCTCTCTCATCCTTTCAAGTGGGAGAGCTTGCACATAGTTGGAGGCTAACTAAATACTTTTGCCCACTGTACTACATGGCTCAAGAAAATGAATTATGGAAAGAAATCAAAAATTTGCATTGTTTCCTTTTAATGTGGAAGAGCACAGCAGCGTCTCTCGGGTGTCAGTGAGCCCAGATCAGGAAACTCATTTCAGTCACCTTTAACCCTGGGGGGGGGGGGGGGGGGGGGGGGGGTCAACAAGAGAATAAAACAAGAACAAGAAAACATCAGATGTCCAGATGAACTCAAAATGCTTTCAGAATAAAGTCAAAACATCTAAAATATGACCCTGATCTCTTGAATCAAACGCCCAAACCCTCCAGACTCACCTCAGTTTGTTAAATCCAACAGAACAACTACACTCCAGTGATCAAACTGAGAATGTATTCACTTTGATTAAAATTAAAAACAACAGCGACAAATGTCAGATCAGTAAAAACACATTTATTTAATTCCTCTGTGACTCGTTTGTTCTCTAACGCTGCTCTGTCTCTTCTGTATTACCGGTGTTGAGCACTAGGTGGCAGCGTCTGCCCACGAGACTCCAGTAAATGGTCAGCCTCTGCAGCTCAAAGTGTGTGTGTGTGTGTGTGTGTGTGTGTGTGTGTGTGTGTGTGTGTGTGTGTGTGTGTGTGTGTGTGTGTGTGTGTGTGTGTGTGTGTGTGTGTGTGTGTGTGTGTGTGTGTGTGTGTGTGCATGCAGGTGTGTGTGTGTGTGTATCTCTGAGGTTTTAGCCAACTTCGGAACAGCTGAAAACTCATTCCAACAGCTGACTGAAACAGAATCAAACATGTTATCGAACAAGGAACCTGATGGAGGGGATGGAGATCAGATGGAGCAGACGTGACCTACAGGAACCAGAAGGATCCTTCTGAGGCGTCTAAAGCAGCTTTGGTGTTTTTGGTTCCAGAGAAGAGGAGCAATGAAGAACCGACTGCGGGTAAATGAAACAGCTGAATGTTGCTGCTTCATCAAAAAAGTTAAACTAATTTAGGTTTTAACTCGTCTGTCATCAGGCTGAACTCTGCTTCCCTTTAGGAGAAATAATTTAGGCCTTTCTGATGGTGTTGATGCAGTAGAACAGCATTCTGGGAGTTTAAGCTAATATGTTCAAGTTTGGACTTTATGAATTTATTTGATCCGATTTGCTGCTTTCACCTTCTCAAGTAATCAGATTACTGATCCTTTCATTCAGTCAGAAAATGAACAGAAAACTTAATCTTCAGAATTCTCTTCTCATATTTTCCTATTTCTTTTTCTTTTGTTCTTCATTGTACTCAGAGTGATAAGGGTTTCTTGTTACCTTTGCTGACATGTTTCCACGTTCACTGCCGCCTTCGTCAGAGCAACCGCTGACACTGCTGTGACCCCCAGACTCTGGACCTCTCTCCCCCTGAGCCTGAGATCAGTGGACTCAGTGGTCTCCTTTAAACTCACCTGTTCAGGCTTTGGTGGGACCTTCATCACCACCCTCTCCTTATTCTGCTCTTATTCTGCCTTTCCAGGATCCACTGATATTACCTTCCTATTCATTTCCTCTTTCCCCTTCCTTAAAATGTTTTAGTCACACATGTTTTTCTCATTTTCATGATATTTCTTAAAGTCTTTTTATTTTTGTTCTTGAGAAGGTCCACACGATTTTTATCTTGAGAGAAGCTATGTAAAAGATTGTTTTCTTTCTAAATGCAGTCTGATGTCTGTCAGCAGAGCTGATTGCAGGTCAGGCTCTGGGACGCCGTCCACATAGGTGACCTGTTAGAGGTTACAGGTGGAGGACACCTGAACAAATACCTGGGAGGAGTCAGGACAGACCACAGATAGCTGGTCTGGAGACCCACTAGCTACAGCATGACTGCTTTTAGATGATTCCTCAAAGTAAATACAACCTAATTAAATATGAGTACATTGACTGGTTGCGTTCTAAAGCACCTTGGGGGGTTATGGAGCCCTAGAAGATGTTTATCAAATATAGGCCATTTACGGAATAGCCAAGACTTTATTATTAGTAGGATGTACTCTTAATGAACAAATCTAAAAGTTTAGAATAAGAATAAAAACTGTTTCAAACCAAGTACTCAGCAAACCTGTAAAAGCATAGGAAGTGGCACTTCAAAATAAAAGCAGAGCAAAGACATAATTCATTTATTCTAAATATTCATGTCTTTAAATTTCATTCTTAACGTACGGTTAAAAACAACAGCATAGCCTACATTTCATCATTTGGTTTTAAACAAATATATACATTTATTGTCTTGATTTTAAATATCTAAATTTCCCTTATAGTCTGTTTCATTTAATGTTAAGGACTTAGATTTAAATTTATATATTTTAAAGAACACCTAAATATTACAGTTTTACATGAAGGGCCTCCTCTCCCAAATCGGCACTCCAAAGTTCTGGTGAGAAACCATAACACAGACGGAAGTGACGTCATTTAATTGACTTAAGGCACGTGTCAGATCTGAAATGTTCATTATGTATCTATCTATCTATCTATCTATCTATCTATCTATCTATCTATCTATCTATCTATATATATATATATATATATATATATATATAAAGTTGAGTTTTAAAGATGAGTTGATGATAAACAGGCTTTCCGCAGCTGACACCACATCCACGCGCCGCAGAAGGAGCTCCTGGTCTATGGGGTGCCATTTATAAAGTCAAACAGTCATAATCTAACAGCAGTGTTCCCAAACTTATTTAGCCGCGCACCCCCTTCTATGTCCCAACCATGTCGACGCCCCCCCCCCCCCCCCCCCCCACATCGGGGCATGGCTCTCTCTCTCTCTCTCTCTCTCTCTCTCTCTCTCTATATATATATATATATATATATATATATATACATCAGATGTCAAGCTAAACAGACGGTTAAAAAATTCCCCATCACTTTCATTTTTTAAATAGTAATTAATAAACATTCGATACCATTACAA